GCGTACAAGACGGCGCAAGGGGCCACCAAGCTCGTCCCGACATGGCCCATGAGGCCTCCTAGGTCGCCCCAAGAAAATCCAAGAGGGCCCCAAGACGACCGCAGGGGCCCCCCAGACGCGCCAAGAGAGCCCCAAGAGGGCCCTAAGAGGGGCCCGACGCCCCCGAGGCACCCACAAGAGGCCCCAAGAGGCTCCTGAGTGGTCCCCAAGAAGCCCCCAGGAGGCTCCAAGAAGGCACAAAAGGCCCCCAGATGCCACCAGTAGCCCTCCAAGAGGCCCCTGAGAGGCATCTCACGAGCCCCTCACATGTATACAAGATGACCCACTGGATAACTTCCAAGATCGTCGCAATCACTCGCTCCTTCTGAGGGGTCGGCTGAATGGCGCAAGCCACTTGAATCAAGAGAGCGGTGCATATACACACGCACGCACACATTCTCAGCATTCTTGGGTTTACACTGGTCCTCCTTCTCCTCCTCCTCCTCCTCCTCCTCCTCCTCCTCCTCCTCCTCCTCCATTCCTTCTCCTTATAGATAACTCCTCCCTGTCGCACCCCGAAGCAATTTTTGAGGGCGGGCCGGGCGTTTCGCCTGAGACTTCCTCAACCTTTATGACTCTGAAGCTTAGAAATGGCAACAGTTTCACCGATGGAGGGCGGGTCGCTTTCAAAATGTGGCTCTCGCCTTAGCGCCGCGGACATTCGTTTTAAACAAATGCAAGAATTTCACGGATTGAGGGTGTCGTTTTCAAAATGTGGCTCTCACCTTAGCGCCGCGCACATTCGTCTCACATATTGGGAAGGGTTTCGCGGATCGAAGGCGGGTCGTTTTCAAAATGTGGCTCTCGCCTTACCGCCGCGCGCATTCGTCTTAAACGTTTAAGCGAGTTTCACGGATTGAGGGCGGGTGGTTTTCAGAAATTGCCTCTCGCCTTAGCGCCGCGCACATTCGTGTAACTCAATTGCAATAGCTTCACGGATTGAGGGCGGTTCCTTTTCAAACGGTGGCTCTCGCCTCAGCGCCGCGCACATTGTTTTCTGTTTTAAAAATTGAAAAGTTTCACTGGTTCCGATGATCAACGCACCAGAAATTGTATTCTGGGAGGGTTCAAGATTATGCGGGCGCAGCAGTTATGTTGATTCGCTGTGTTGAAGTCCCAAAAACGGTGTTTTGGCACGATTCTGGATCGTCAAGACGCAGCAGTCAGGTTGATACGTGGCGTTGAAATCCCGGGAACAATGTTGTGGCACGCTTCAGGATATTCAAGTTGTTGTCTTCCAACGAGGCAGTTCCCTCAATGGAAATGAACCGTTGTAGGGGCCTATGAAGAGGGAGCTTGGAGGGAGGGTCAATTCCAACATCGTTGATGACTCTTGGGTTTCCTCTGGTCCTCCCCCCTTTTCCTCCTCCTCCTCCTCCCCATCCTCCTCCTTTTCTCCCTCCCAAAGATATCACAATCGGATTAGAGGGGGTGGGGGAGGGGCCAGGGGGGGCCCTGGGGGGTGGGGTGAGTGGGTAGACGAGCTGCTCAACGCACCCCCCACGCTTCTGGAGCCTACGCCTCCAAAGCGCCAACACAGCCCAAGAGAGCGTTGAGCCGGCTCAGGGTCGCCCTAAGACGGTCCAAGATGGCTTCGAGACGGCCCACGAAACTCCAAGACGGCCCAAGAATACTCCCAGAGGGCCGCCGAGAGGGTCCCGAGAGGCAAACGTGTCCCATTCTTGTAGGACAACGTTCATTCTTAGCATGCTCACATGTTTTCGCCTTGACAGCGTACAAGACGGCGCAAGGGGCCACCAAGCTCGTCCCGACATGGCCCATGAGGCCTCCTAGGTCGCCCCAAGAAAGCCCAAGAGGGCCCCAAGACGGCCGCAGGGGGCCCCCAGACGCGCCAAGAGAGCCCCAAGAGGGCCCTCAAAGGGGCCCGACGCCCCCGAGGCACCCACAAGAGGCCCCAAGAGGCTCCTGAGTGGTCCCCAAGAAGCCCCCCGGAGGCTCCAAGAAGGCACAAAAGGCCCCCAGATGCCACCAATAGCCCTCCAAGAGGCCCCTGAGAGGCATCTCACGAGCCCCTCACATGTATACAAGAACTTCAAAGAGCGTCGCAGTCACTCTCTCCTTCTGAGGGGTCGGCTGAATGGCGTAAGCCACTTGAATCAAGAGACTGGTACATATACACACGCACGCACACACTTGATAACTCTCGGGGGAGAGGGAGAGGGAGAGAGGAAATGGGGCTGAGAGGGGCGAGGGAGAGAGGGGGGGGGAGAAGGAGCCGAGAGGGGAGAGGGGGAGAGGGGCCCACCAGGTGCGCTCGCACCATGCCGAACGTTCTGCCCCGCCCTCCCATCCCTTCCCATTGCGATGATATGTCCGATATCCGCCGACGGGTGTCCTGACGGACCTGGACTACCCAACTGGCCCCATCTTGTGACGCGCAATCAGAAAGCGCAGTTGTGCACAGTGGAGGAGGAGGAGAAGAAGAAGAAGAAGAAGGAGGAGGAGAAGATGCCGGATGAGCAGGAGGATGAGCAGGAGTAGGAGCAAAATGAGCATGATGAAGGAGGAGGGGGAGGAGAAGCAGGAGGAGGAGGAGGAGGAGGAGGAGGAGGAGGAGGAGGAGGAGGAGGCGGAGGAGGCGCAGCAGCAGCAGGAGCAGGAGCAGCAGGAGCGCGAGGAGCGGGATGACTAGGGGAGGCAGGGGGCGGGGAAAGCAGGGGGGGCGACGACGACGGGGGAGCCAGATCCAGAAGTGCGCCCCGCGATGGGGCGAGAGAGAGCGCCTTTCCGACCCACGGGGGCGAGGCGCCGATCCCGAAGCGGGGCCGACGCTGCAGCTGGGGCACCGCGAAAAACGCGTGCGGGGCGAAGCGGCGCGCTCCCCCCCGCGCGGTGTCCGGGGAGAGGGAGGAGCGGCACGCAAGTGGAGTTTGCTGTCGAGGGAGGGCGAAGGGGGAAGGGAGGAGGGGGGAGGTACGGGGCCAGCGGAAAGGGGAGATAGGGGGACCCCGACGGGGGCGGGGGAGGGCGCGAGGCCCCACGGGCGAGGGCCACGAGCAGCGCGGCCACGACGCCACCCGGCCGCGCGCCCCTGGCCAAGCAGCAGAGAGGGGGAGTCTGCCGTCGCCAGTCGAAGGCCGACGGCGGGTGCGGGCGGCAAGTCGAAGGCCGACGGCGGGTGCGGGCGGCAGGTGCAGCATCGCTGGCACGCGCGCGCGTGCCCAGCCCGAGTGAGGAACGACACTGAGAGTCCCCGACGACGACTAGTTCGAAAGCAGCTCACGGGACACGGGAGCTTTTGGTCGCCCCCCTGGCGCCCAATGGCGCGCCCAGCCGCGCGCAGAGCAGCCATGATCCATCTCCCGCACATGGCGCTATGCGGCGCCGTTGGGCGCTATTGGAGCGCTGCTCGGTGCTACTGGGCGCTCTTTGGCGCTATTGGGCGCTATTCGCCGATATCACTCGTGTCGGATCGTCTTGTCACGCTTTACGGCAGGACGGCGCTGGCGCTATCCTCAGCCTTGGAACGCGTAGAAGTTGTACCCTGTAGTTTAGGGCCACAGGAATGCCCGCCAGAGGAGCTCAAATGCAAGACGAGCGGATGCTTCCGTGGTTTGCTCCCTGAGGCTGGGCCATGCTCCGCGGAGCAGGCCGCGTGGCCGCGCCGCTGGCACACGCGGATGGCGCGAGAACGCGCGGCCTTTGACTCCAGGAGGAGGAGGAGGAGGAGGAGGAGGAGGAGGAGGAGGAGGAGGAGGAGGAGGAGGAGGAGGAGGAGCAGGAGGGCTGGCAGCGCGGTGTGCGCCTGAGGCGAAGGGGGCGCGCTGCACGCTCGGGCCGAGCTTCCTGGCAGCCACGCCGGCAGCGCGACGTCAGCGCCGGGAGCGAGCGGGCGCGCTTCGAGTGAGCTTCCCGAGAACAGCGCTGGCACCAAGAGGTGCGCCAGGAGCGGGGGGGCGCGCTGCCAGTGAGCCTCCTGGCAGCAACGCTGGCACTGCGATGCGCACTGGGAGCGAGTGGGCGCGCTCGGGGTGCACTTCCTGGCAGCCACGCTGGTAAAGCGGACTGCGCTGGGAGCGAGCGTACGCGCTTCGAGTGAGCCACGCCGACAACAGCAATGGCAACAAGACGTGCCGTGCCTGCCAGGCGGGTGCGCTCGCTCGGAGCTTCCTGACAACCACGCCGGCAGCGCGATGCGCGCTGGGAGCAAGCGGGCGCGCTCGGAGTGAGCTTCGTTGGGCCCTTGCTCGCATCGCGATGCGCGCCGGAAGGGATCGGGGCCCGATCGGAATGAGCTTCCTGGCAGCCACCCTGGCAACGCGGCGTGCGCCTGGGAACGAGCTGGCACGATCGGGGTGAACATCATGGGGGCCGCGCAGGTGCCGCGATGTAATGTGCGGTGGGAGCGAGCGGGCGCGCTCGGGGTAAGCTTCCTGTGGCAGCCGCGCTGGCAGCGCGGTGCGTGCCTGGAGCGAGCGGGCACACGCACGCTAAGCTCACGGGAGGCACGCGGGAGGGGACCCAACCCAGGGCGTCCAGTGAGGGGGTTACGAAGCCAAACAGCCAAACCCCCGAGGCACGCACGGCCAAGGGATGCCCTGGCCTCGACTTCCGGGGGCAGATGGGGGAGCACGCGGAGGGCCTCAAAAAAGTGGGAGGGCAGCTCTGGCCTGAAAACGCGCCGTCTTCGGTGCTTCGGGCCTGCCTCGTGGAGGCCTGCTTGCCTTGCTGGTCGATCTCCTCCTCCTCCTCCTCCTCCTCCTCCTCCTCCTCCTCCTCCTCCTCCTCGTCCTCCTCCTCCTCCTCCTCCTCCTCCTCCTCCTCCTCCTCCTCCTCCTCCTCCCTCCTCCTCCTCCTCCTCCTCCTCCCTCCTCCTCTCTCCTCCTCCTCCTCCTCCTCCTCCTCCTCCTCCTCCTCCTCCTCCTCCTCCTCCTCCTCCTCCTCCTCCTGCTGGCCCTCCCAAAGGGGCAGTGCACACACGCACGGGCCGAGGCCCGCACTGAGCGTCGCCGACATCAGCACCAGCTTCAGCCGCATCTCGCCACGCAGCATCCGCTCCCGCACCTCCGCCGCCGCCGCGGGCGCTCGCGCGGGCGCGCCCGCCGCACAAAGGGGGGCCCCCCGGCCACGGGCAGGCCGGGGCCCCCGCGCCCTTTTTTGCCTCCCGCGGCCCCTCGCGCACAGCCTGTTCTAAACAGATGCCCCAGGGGCCACAGCGCCCAGCTCTTGCACACGACTTCCCAGTCACGAAAGGATGGCTTCCGGGCCCCTCCCTGCCCGATCCCACGCTGCCTCTCCTCCGCGCTCCGCCGCGCTCCCTGCCCTTCGGCAGGCGAGAGATGCCGCGGGGCGTCCGCCGTCGTGCCGCAAGCACGGAGCAGAAGCACCCTTGATACCACCTCGAGCTCTCTGAGCTGGGGATTGCGCCTGCTCTTTGAGCTTTGGAGGCCCCAGGCCCCGGAGATTCCTGGCGTGGTGTGGCCCTTCCGCGCGTTCCTGGGGTCGTCTCGCGCGCCCTTTCCAAAGGCCAAGGGGGGCGCGCCTGAGGGCCCGTGCTTCCCACGTGTCCCGAGATGGCCGCCTGAGCCCGTCCTGGAGGACCACTGGGCGCCCTGCATTGTTGCATGGCTTTCGCATTCTTGTCTTGTCGGCCTCAGGACCAAGAGGGGCCCACTTAGGGGCAACACGAAAGGGTTCCGAGGGCACTCACCCCAATGGCCCCGAAGACCGCTTCCAGGCCCCCGGAACGCCCCCAAGAACGCCCCCGAGTTCCCCGGGAGGCCCCCCAAAGAAGCCTCCGCCTGCCCTCCGGGAGGCCCCAACGCCAACGGGGCAACAGAGGAGGCCTTCCGAGAGACCTCTTGGAGGCCTCCGAGAGGCCTCCGAGAGACCTCTGAGAGGCCTCTTGTCCACGACCGACGCACGGGTTGAAGACCACGAGGCATTCGGCCGCGAATGGCAACACGCTCGCACACACACACACACACACACACACTCCAGGTGTCGGAAACAATTAAGCAACACTCATGCAGAACACATGGTTTGAACCTCCCCCCCCTCCCCCCCCTCCCCCGATGCTGGGCCTCCGAGCGTTCTTGCGAAAACCTGTCAACTTCGAATTGCGGAGAAGGGGGGGAGTGTTGCTTAATCGTTTCCCTCAACCGTCTCTCTCTCTCTCTCTCTCTCTCACACACATCTCAAACCACCTCACCGCAGTGGCGCCTCACAGCACCGTCGTCTGCCGAGGGCGGCGCGGCACACTGGCGACGGGGGACGAGGCGCGAGCCAGGCCCCGAGGATCTGCGCCCCAGGCCGCACGGTGGCGGAATGCAGGCCGCCCCTGGCTTCCCGAACGAGTCCAGAAGCCTCGCCACTCCGCTTGAGCTGCACACGGAGGCAGGAGACTGGGCAGTGCAGGTCCAGCAGCTCCCAGAGGTGGGCCGTCCAGGCGCCTCGAGGATCCCTTGAGATACCCGAGATGCCCCTAGAAGTGGACTCACAGAACCTTGGATAGGGGACCGAATCGAATACCGCCCTTGCTGGCGACAGTACGGAACCGAATTCCATACACCGACGCCGTTTCCGGCCCTGCACTGGGGTTTGCACAGGAAAGCGAGTCCTGGTGTATACGGGATCCTCGTGTTTAAGTGTTTCGATGTTTCCCCGGGAAAGCTGGGAAACACGTATACACCACACCATCCCGACGTCGTTCCCGACCCTCAGAAAAGTCATGGGCCTTACAAACGGCCCGCCACTGGTAATGTGTATGCTCCATTTTCCGAGATAGAGAACCTTCGAATCGCGAAGCCAAGGGGCTCTGGCGCAGAACTTGGCCGTCCCGATCCAGGCGCTGCGAAGCAGGGCACCTCCTGGGGGTATCTGCAGGCAGCACGGCCCATCACCTGCAGCATCGGCTGCGGCACTCCCTTCTTTGCCCCTCAGGATTTGACAGCGTCGAGCCTGGATGGCACGCACAGAGACATACTAATACTATATGTCCTCCTTGGAGGCGCGCGTCCGACCCGGACATGTAGTATACCTATCTTGTAGTATAGCGTTTCCCGAGCGGTGTGGCCAGGAAGCGCCCGCCACGACGCATATACTGTAAGATTTCTCGGTGCGGGCGTTTCCCCTGGGGGGGCGACGGACATATAGTTTAAGCATGTTGGGGTGACGCCGACTGGAAGGCGCATCGAACGCACCCGAGAGACACCGCGGGGCTCTGGGACGCCCCCCCGGCCTCGTGGTCTTGAGCCACGCGGCGGCCGGGAGCTCAGGAGTCCGCAGTCGGTATCCTCGTCGACCTGCAGCACGTGATTCGACAAACTGGTCATATGATTATCTGATATCATCTGATCATCTGATATCATATGATTACACGTCGGCCGGAAGAAGCAGGCAACAGCATGAAGTAGGAAGGCGGGTCAAGTAGATTGGGTCCTGGCCCTCCCCGAAGAAAACAAAAGACAGCAACCGAAGATCGATTCTTGAACTAGAAAGGCGCTCCAAGTAGATTGGGATCTGGGAGTCCAGAAATACCTACTTTCAACGACCAGCGTGTACCCCGCGGAGGGTTGAGACCTGGAGAGGGTTGAGCCCTGGAGAAGAGGATAAGACCTGGAAAAAGAAAGAAGCACGGTGCTTGTGCGGGCACCGCCATCAGCAAGAACTCTGTGTACACGTCGCGCTCGTGCACCTCGTCCACGCAGAGAACCGCGACCTCGGCCCATGGCCCAATCGGCTGGCTCACGATTCGCTTCCGCCAGCTTTCGACGAGGCTGTCCATGCTGCTGCCGAGCGGGTTCTATTAACGAGTGCACGAGCCGTCCTCGCAGCATGTGCGCCCAAAATGTAATCAGGACAAGACGCACGGCGTCGCCTACGCCATGAGTCATGAGACCTTTCCTGGTTACCTCGTCGCCGTGGAGCTCGGTCCAAAAAGCGGCCTGGAACGCAGTCTGCGGAGCGCTCGCGCCAGCTCTCGCTGCCCAGCGCGCAGGGGCCGCCCTCGAGTCGGACTCTCGGGGCAGGTGGTGCGTCTACCTATGGGGAACCTATCTTTGCGGATTTCTTGAACCGCGACGGGCCTTTCACCTCTAGTGATGTGCGGGGCGTCTCCGAGGACTGAAACACCCTGTCGTGGCACGGCCCCGCGGTCTCTTTGCCAGCAGGCCCCGCTCGACCCTGATTCAAGCACGCTTCGGGTGCTGCCCACGCTACGGGTGCTGCCCACCAAACACGGCAAACGCGAGTCCAGCAA